ATTATGCCATGTGCTTTTTATATATTTTTTTCTCTAGCACTCTCATGTGAAAAGGTTAATTTTTAAAGAGAAAAACAGAAATGTCCTTACTACCTCTTCACCACCAACTACAAGTTTAGTATATTCTCTCTACTGACTTTATTGGGATTATATTGACCAATTTTTACAGATAATATTTTATCTGTAAGCAACAATGTGAGTTTTTATTACTTGTTATGTGTATATACTTGCTCCACCTTTTTATTTACTATATTTGTGTGTGTTTATCTAGTAGACATGTGCAATTCATTTTATTCCGAATGTACATTTGAAAAATTTTGTGCAATTCGGATATTCGGATGCTTACATATGTTCTAAGTTCGAACTTCCAAATTGCCGTAGTGCCAAATTTCAGAAGAGTGCCGAACCGAACTGGATGCTTACCAAAGTTCCGAATTGCCGAAGTTCCGAATGGCCGAATTTCCGAAGTGCTTCTGATTTCTGAAAAGTGTTTAGGGTTAGGTGTTAGGGGTTAGTGGTTATGGGGTTAGCAGTTAGGGCTGGGGTTTTGGTTATGGGTTAGGGGTAGGGGCTAGGGTTAGGGGTTAGGGTCCGAATTACCGAAGTTCTGAATTGCCGAAGTGCCGAACCGAAACCGAATGCCATTGGTCCGAATTGCCGAAGTAGACAAATTTTTTTACTTACCCGAATTTCCGAACTGAACCAAACCAAATATTTTGCCCATGAACATTCCTATTGTTTAGTGTGGGGAAAGGGGATCCCACACATGTATTTGAGCAAACTGAAGTGTAGTGCACTTAAATATTGTACAGGTATATATTAAAAAATTTAATTTGGAAAAATATCAGTCAATCCAATTTACACCGAGTGATCTCTAAACACATATTTTGCAGTTTAAAGACACATTTCTGAGATTATTATAGAAGCATAACTCTGTTATGCACCTCATGCATCCCAAGAATACTGAGCACCTACAAAAGAGAGACAACAGGAAAGAGGGATTTAGGTATAAAATAGGGACTGTCACTCATTAAACAGATTGATAAAGGCTGTGTTGTTGTTCAAAACATTGCTGTTTCTCACTTATGGCACTTAAATAATGGGACATTGACATCGGAGGACATGCTGAATATTTTTGTATATTGTGGCTTGTACTGGCCTTCATTGGACCCTTCTGGTAAGTACTATCCAGATTTTATATTGTTGGAAACTGACTCCTAAATAGGTACACTTTGGAGGTATGACAATGTTTTGCCTTCCACTTTGCGTTATGGCACAAATCAACTAGAAAGTGAACTCTCCCGGCTGAATGTTTGACAATTATTAAGGTGCAACATAGCAACTTTATAAAAGTGCCAATTTTTCTTTAAATCAATAATTTAATAAAGTGTGAAAGGGAGGATACTCTGAAATACAGAACATTTTGGAGTGCTCCTTTAATAGGACAAGGTGCTGCATAAATTGTCTTCTACACCTTTCCTTGATCTTTCAACATAATGTTCTACAGTTTGTTTAGGTATACTCGCCAAGTACAATAAATGGGCATTGAGTCTTAGGTGACTTATTTGGTGCTAGCACCTAAGCGAAAGCAATGTAGGTTATGTAGTAATTGAGACCTCTAGATGACCTATATCATATTCCCTCATTTATTGTAAAGATGGAAGGGGCTATTAGTTTGTGGTTGATATGTATATGCAGTTCATCCAGAGGACAAGAAGTGACATAAGACAACTTAATGACTTATTCTATGCAACCCTGTGATTATGTGTACGTGTGGAGACATTTTCATGTGTGAGTTATGTATGGGAATTGGTGTTCCAGCAAGTGCCAAACCAAAATCATGAAAAGTGTGATTATTATCAGATACCTTTCATCTTCTAACCAATGAGAGCAAATACACAGAGGTGAGGAATCTGAAAGGAGGGGGTGCATTAAAGTCTGCCATGTAAACTCTACTTTAAATAGTTACATAGTAATGTAGATTGAACTGACTCATGTCCATCGCATTCAACTTTTGCACATCTCTTCTATCTTTGATCTGTAAGTAAAAAACAAACAAAAACAATGTTTTGAAGGAATATTTAATTTTGCCACAAAATGGAAAAATAAAAATCATTCATGACTCCAAAACATGTTTTTAACACAAAAGTAACCTAGATAATTCAATATTCTAGTTTTTTTTTAATCCAATTTTTCATCACTCTCCCAATTTTCCTAAATTATATTTAGCTAGTGTGTATATACCCAGACATAGATCTGAGAGTCTTCAAGGTAAATGGCCAAATCCTATAATTTAACAGTTATTTATTCACCATTTGCCATGGCCCCTCCTTAGGACGCCCATGCTCCCTCTTATTTTATTGCTTTATGCTATATTCTGACTGTACAGGAAAGTAATAATGCTTGTATTGTATGGTTGGAACAAAAAAGTATTTGAATTAGTGTTTCGACAAAAAGAGGTGAAAGCAAGAACACAAAAATATGTACTAACAAGATGTAAAAAAACAAACAAAAACAGTTACAAATATTTACTTTTTTTGCATTTAGCACTAGTAGTAATTGACCAATATAAGAATGAGTTGATGGTTGAGGTCATAAGTGAGAAAATATAGTCATGAAATAATACTATTTCAGCATGTTTACTGATCTCACATATGAAAATGCGTTTTCTGGCAAGCACTATTTTACATGAGTAATTTTATTCAATATTTCTCCAGGGGCGCAATTATATTCACAATGTTTTTGGCGTTGAAGTTCAAATAAAAGATATAAGACAAAACAATCATTTTCATGCAGGTTATTTCTAGGGTATATATATATATTTTTTTTACTAATGTCTGGTTAGTATATGTGCTCTAATATGTACAAATATTTGAAATGTTGCTTTACATAATTTTCTTGCTGACTGTGCGCAAGTGGTAAGTTCGACATTTTTTGTACATGTTTTCTTTTTTACATTGACCTAATTTGTTACTCACTAGGAATGTAATGTAGAGACGTTGGGAGATACAGACGCACATAATCATGTGACATCGAATGGTTAGGTTTCCTCTTCCGAAGAAATCATGTCAAGGTAAGAAGCATTTGTAAATAGTGCATCGTTTCTCCCTATTTTTAGCTGCATGGCAGATACTTTTCACAAATTAACATGTGGGAATATCATTAAGATACATCTCAATCTCAGTTTCTCGCACCTATCAGTCAAAAATAAATATGAAATTGGATTATAAATCATAATATATAATTCCTCTGTTCTGTATATTTATTGTACTCTCAGCAAATGAGTTACCTGTTCTCTAATTTTACATAGGTGTTTGTAAATATTTTTCTACCTTGGGACTGCATTGCATTGATAGACTATGAATCTGTTCATTACTCATAAAAATATCTGCTTGTTCCATAGCTATTTCATGAATATATTTGTGACTTTATATCAATTATGACTGCAAAGTCTCTCAGGCAGCAAATTACCTTTATTTATCCATTCAGCTCAGTGCAGCAAGTGTGACAATGTCCTCATAGGTTTGACGTCAACGTGACTTAATCAAAGGCCACTATATTTGTGACTGCGTGTGTATGCGTTTTGGGTTCGACGTCTGTAGAGTTTGCATGTAAAACTGGACTTAATATCAAAAGTACTTTATCAGGAAGGGAACATTTATATCCACATGTCTACATAAATATTAATATCCTGCTTGACAGATATTAATTTTACCAACCAAGAAATTGAACCTAGAGGAAAATTAATGACTGAGTCATGTCAGCAGATAAAATATTTCAAAAAAAGGATTAAGTTTATATGATCCAGACAGTTTAATGCAGTTCATGTAGCATATATTGAATTGAAAAGATGTCTGATTAACTGTCACTATTTTTTTTCTAGTGCCAACAAATTCTGTTTAAAGTATGTTGCAAACTTGGTGCTAAAAACTTGTACCAAATTTATGGAACCGTGTCTTGTGAGGTTTTGACAATTGATGATTCAAGCAACTTCAGAAATGTTGAATTCTAGGCTCACTGAGCTATGCGGTCTGCCTAATTCTAATTCTGCCGTCGGATGATAGCCATATCACTGAAACCTGTTTAGTAAATAAACTCTTTTGGCAAATGAATGTGTAATGCAGAGGGGGACCTGTCCTTAAGCTTACGATTTGTAGTTATAAAATAATATGGAGCAGACTAATATGGCAAAGCAGAGGTTAAAAAAACACTGGTTTGGATTCTTTAAATCTTTCCTGTCAGTTTGGAACTCCAATATTAAAAGGGACAAAGGCTATAAGGCTCTAGATTCCCAGTATGATTCTTGGAGTATAAAGAGATACTATTTCAGTTTTAAGCAAATATTTTCTCAGCCCACATAACATATGCCAGATACAATGAGACACAGTCTCGGTTCCGTGGGACGTGTCCAGGATTGTGTTGAAACTACAACCTACCAATTTTCTGTCTGGAGTGATTTCTCATATTTCGTTGCAAAAAAATATATATATATTTTTTAACGCTGTTCTTGGTTTTATAGGATGGATTAAGAATGTTTTACTGACTAAAGTCCTAACAAATTGGAGGCGCTACAATGCATTTTCTCATATCCCAAAAAGGATTGTCAAAGATAAGCTACTTCTGACTATCTGACTATCCCATGGATCCAGCCTCATGGATTTTCACATTAATTGAAGCACTTCCTCCGTTGAGGTCACCAAACAAACGTGATTGTCATAAACACAACAGCTTGGTCTGGACATACCGACAGAGTTGTGGGGAGTAGTTGCTGAGACTGTGGTCAAGCCAAAGGTTATATTTCCACTACCTGTGCAGTGGGCAGGCATCATCCATTTTGCCTTATTCAAGGCAGGTACAGACCCCTCTGCATGTGCCTCTCTCTTGGCAGGTATGAAACTCTCTGCCTATGCCTGCTTTTCTTTCTTTCGTTCTTTCTTTCATTTTTCTTCATCCAGGTATAGACCCCATTGCCTAAGACATTTTCCAGATAGGTATGACCTCCTCACCATGACAATCCCAGACAATGCCTTTGCAAAAATACCTAGATTTTATCTATACATATAGGATACAGACAAGATTCCTCCCTGTTTTCTTCTCTTGAGTGATTGCACAATCACATGCACTCTGGACATGACGGTTTTAGAGGTACATAGTTTACCTTCATAAAAATGGGCTGTATTGGAGGTATTTGCTCTCAAATTCCATTAGCAAAATGCTCAGTACTGAAAGAACCCAAGCAATTGTTCTTTAGTTACTGAATCCTCTATGCAATATTCATCTACCTTATAGTTCTCTCACTCATCATGTCTAGATTCCATCCTAATGATATGCTGAATGGTTAATTGCCCTCTTCACGTTATTATGTTTATTAAGGTTATTTGAGCAAGAGACTAATATTTTATCCCAGTATGCTGAGTTTGTTTTGTCATGAGTAATACATTTATTTAACCACTGTTAAATATGTACTCAGTAAATGATAAAAAAATAATAATAGAATATGCTGTCAATCCTAAAATATTTCTGAAAATTTACAAAATCTAAAAATGAAATGCTCCCAGGCTATTTAAGCATAGCAATTTGACGACCTTGAAAACAAAATGCATTGAAGCACTATAGTAAACACTCCCCGACCAGGTTCTTCACAGTTGGAGCATCGTGAATACGCCCCAGCCCTGGAGTGAAACAGAGAAAAAAGATCTCATTTTACAATGCAAACAGTCAACAAATACCAAGTGCCAAACACATGTGGCTCTGCATTATGGGAAATGTAGTTCACAGATATCTAAGAAGTAACATATAGAGTTAATTTCTCATTTTCGATTGACAAAATCAAAGAATTGCTACAAAGAAGTGGCCACCCAAGTGTGGATAACCATGGTCAATAGAACTTTTATTATTCTCCTTCTGTGCCATGTATTTGCTGTTCACTGTTTATTTGGTGTTGTATGAATAAGAGGAGACTTTACAGCTTATTTCCATATCTCTCTCTCCGGTACTCACAGTTTCACATATTTATTCAGGAAATGGGTGGAATGTAAAAGCAATGGAGCCTTGTGTGGAGGTTTCCCAAGTGTTTATGTTACATCTTTAATGGAAGAGAAAAAATATAATAATAAAAAATAATAAAATTACTTCTTTAAAATGATGAAAGTACTCAATTTTCACTTTCTTTAAGGACAAGTTAATGAAGGTAATGCTAAATCTTATAAATTTCCTCTAGAGTTCTTACCCATTATTTATCTACCTCTGGACAGCAGCATGTACTGTTGATATCAGTAACTAACTGTAATAATGTGTCCACAATCCTATTTGCTATTTATTATGCTTTTCATTCACACGTTTATCAAAAGTCAGTAATATTAATAATAGCCCAGGGCTTATAATTTGCCATGGTTGTCCTTGCTTTTCTGTCGATGGTTAGTTCAGCTCCATCTATTGCCTCTTTTATATAACTAGAAGTGTTCTGTAGTATTAATGTGTAAGATGATTACCTTATTTGTTTGTAGACCCTGGATAAATACACATATTTTGTGTTTTAAGTCACTCATACTCTTAATTCACACTCCAAGGGGCATAGTTCTTTCACAACTTGTATACTGTCTCCCGGTTTCTTTGCAGGCACCCAGACCCCTCCTGCCCATTGGAGTAGTCTGGGTGCCAACTCCCACTACCCTTAACTCTGCAATTGTAATTATTGCAGTTTTCATAATTTAGACAGCCACTAGAGGAGACTTCCCTGTTCATAGAACACAAAAAGTGGTTTAGAACAACGCAGGACATCCTCACACTATGTGAGGACCTCCAGCAGTGCCGAAATCCCCATAGGAAAGCACTGAAAGCATTATTCAATGCTTTCCTATGGGGAGGTCTAATGCGCATGCACGGGTGTTGCCGCACATGCGCATTAGGTCTCCCCTGCTGACGGCTACGCCTGCGCATTAGTTGGTGGGGGAGGAAAGTAGGCGGAGCCTGACCCACCGCTGAGGGATATAGCTGGACTCCAGGAAGTCACTGAAGGGGTTTTAATCCCTTCAGCAACTTGGGATGGGGGATGGGAGGTATAGGGGCACTAGAGGATCCTGCAGTGCCAGGAAAACTAATATGTTTTCCTGGCACTGGAGAATCCCTTTAAGAGATAAATCACAGTAAGCTAAACTATGTGCAGTCAGAATGAGTGTCATGAAAGCCATTCAGATTCATCTATGAAAGGGTTAATACACACTGTCATAAGAGGAAACCGTACAAGATACAAGGATGTAATAGTGGAGGGTAATGCACTAATTATAGGTCTAATAGTGTATGTAATAATCCACTAACCGTCTTCTAACCATATAGACGTCTCACGGCTGCTACTTAAAAGCAGCTCCCCCTTTCCAGAGGTACAATGCCGAGTAGAACGTACCCCCAGTCTCCTCATTTAAATATAAGTCCAACACTGCTGCTTCGAGGCAGCCCTCTGCTGAGACTGTCTCCTCTAAAAACCTCTAACAACTATCCCTGTCTCCTCTAACAACCTGACACCTGCTGCTTCGAGGCAGCCCCTAGCTCTAAATAGCTTGCTCAACAAGCACACCCCACATCTATTAAATGGCTATAAAATGGCCGTGCCAAATAGATTCCCCATCCTAGAACGGCTCGACGCGCATTTCGGCGATAATACACGCCTTTATCAAGAGCAAAATCAGATCCAAAGTATTCTCTATTTTAAAGGGGAGTTAGTCCCGTAAAAGTATGATCTTTCAGACAGTAAATCAAGGCACTCATATTGAGGCCACCTACCATCAAACAATTTAGTCTGTGCTTTCTTGCTATTCATTGTGATTGTTATGTGTCTATTCTTGTATCACATAGTTTACTGCTTCTGTTTTCACCCTTTTCAGATCTCTCATCACAGCATGCCCACTTAACATCTCCCTCATCAACCTTTTTAGAGTGAGGAGGCCAGCCCCTTAAGTGGTAGTTTAAGGTAATATTGTATATTCCATAGCATAGTGCTGTAAAAAGATAACAGAAAATAGATTTTTTTAAAATTTGTGCCCATAGAAATACAATTTATTTAATGTCTGAGTCTTGCATATTATTTAATGAAAATATCTTTGAAACATTAAGTATTGTAAATAATCTTTTTTATTTGGTAGAAGACGCAATCTGAGATTTCTACCATTCAGAATGTTTTCAAAACTAGTAATAATGAAAGAAAATCAAATGAACAAATATCTCAACATTTTTGTGACATTTCTGCTCTGCACCCATGCTTGGTGTTAACCTCTTTTGGGGTGTATTAAAAGGTATGTATGAAAAAAGCAGGGCTAAGATGTAAACATGGAGCAATCACTGTTAAAATCAATGGGATATTGCAGCTGAGCCCTGTGCTTTTCATGATGATTCTTTAACTTTTAGAACCTTGTCCCACTTTTTTGTTAGGGACACTTCTGTAAAATTCCCTTCTGTGTCTGTGATATCAGGTTTCCTGCCTTGTGAACGATCTCTGCTGTAATTGCTTTCGGTGCATAATGCAGGCTGTCGGAGTGAGGGTTTATTACAAGCAAGGATTGCAACAGAGAAAATGTGCTTCCTAGTTGAGCAGTGACATTTCTCATGAGCAGAGGACTCTGTATTACAGGATAAGACTGGGGGAATATTGTGTTCCTGTCACAACCATCAATTCTGCTGACATCTAAAGTGACTCCTATAAGAGGCGGTAGACAGACATCATAGTATATCATCTACATTATCCACATCTGCCCTGTTCCTGCTATGATACAGGATTACACAGGATATTGAACCTGCAGGAGCACATTGCAAACTGTCTTTCTGCTATATTTATTTGCCCTCCACACCTTTCACAAATTACACAATTAGTCAACTTGGAATGTAAAGTAAATTATCACTATGGTTATCTTATATAATGTATCATATCAGCATTCTATGAATAATAATATAGTATCAAACACATATATAATAGAAGAATAATAAGAACAAGAATTAAAACATAATAGGAGATGAAAAAATATACAAGTGAATGATAAGATCATAGCTTCAATAGGTCAAATTTAAAGGGCCACTTCTAGTTCCATAATCGCTTATTTTCCTTACATAGGTGATGGTAAAACATGTTCTCCGGCCCACTATCTCCCCACTGTCTCTCGAAATGCATAAATCTTCTTCCTCATTCAAAAATAGAACAGGATAAAGCTATACATTCCCCTGTTCATTCAAGAACTTTCACAACTCATGCATGCACCAGTCTAATCCCTGACTTTTCTTTTAAAGGTTTCTAATAGACAGACCATCATTGCCACATCTGTTGCTTCATTAAGGGGAAAAAAATAGAGCAATCAGTTAGAAGATATGAGTGAACTATAGCTGTCCGAGCATTTTCAGTCTTTCTGTTTTTTTTCTACATACCAACATTGAAGTTAATGTGGAGTTCGATAATTTCCCGAAAGCACTTTAGCTGTTTCTCGGTGTGATATATAGATTACTGCAGCAACTGCAAATCATGGCAATTTGCAGCAAATGTTGGAAGGTACGTATTTCCTTGAATTTGCAATATTTTAAAGTGATTATACTGTGTATTTGCATATTGCATATTTTCTAGACTTGGAGATTTTTGTTTTAAAATGTTTCCTAATTTGTTTCGATCGCCTGGTTGGGCGAATTATCGAACTCTGTGCCGAAATGTAGCTAAATCATGTTCGTTTTGATTGTGAATCCCATCCACCAACAAGAAGAGTTGATTGATGGTTATGGTACAGTCACTAAATGTTGATTTCATTCGCAGATCAAGTGATAAAGGATCTGTAAAGGGGGAAAATGAGAATCAGTAAAAAAAAAAATCTACATATTTATATATCAGATACTTAATAAAAAATATATAATACAGATTTCTTTTTTTTGTTTTTTAAATATTTACTGCTCTTATATTTTTCCCTCTGTTGGTTACTTTCTATCTCTTGATCTATGAACCAAATGGTGAAATATTACCCAATCAGTGTACTGCAAAATATCTATATAATATTTATATTATAAACATCCATTTCCACACCCCCTTTTGGTATCTTTAAATCAGTTTCTCAATAACAAAATTCTGCAGAACCGAACCACCATATGGTTGAAAAACTACCATACAGAAAAACTTTTCATTTTCAGAAAACATGGTTTGGCCAAGCTGAATTTTCTTGCAGTGCACAAATCTAATATTTTGAAACCGTCATTAAATGGAGATGAATACCCGGCTGCAGTGTATATTTCATTAGCTCAATATCAGTGTAGCATTTATTTTTGTGGGTTTCAGTTTAATAACAAACATATTGTATATATAGCAATCAGAATTCAATGTAACATG